CTTTGACTGGGGACTTACTAAGAAGATTTGGGTTGTTGCTCTTACTATTTAGAAAAAAAAAATCTTTTTTTATCTGATCGGAACAACAAGGTCATTTGGAAGTGCCATTAAAAATAACATCAGGGATGGTGAAAAGGTATATGTGACCAGAGGGAAAAGCAGAGTTGCTCAGTGGTGTAATCTCAGGGACACCCACATTTGACACTGTGACTATGATAGACTTACTGAATTTTCAGCTGTTTCTAGCAGGTTAACAGAATTAGCTAATGCTTTGCTTTATTTTTATTTAGACTATTTGAAATGGCAGTCTTAGATCTTCTTGGCACCATTCCTACCTGCCTGTGAAGTCTAGACTAGTTTGAGGCCTGTGTGGATCATTAGTCCTGGTTGCAATCGGATGCAGTGTTGGGAACTCCAGGAGGAGCAGCTTTGCGGTGCACTTACCTAAAGGGCTGTTGTGCAGAGGATGCTCTTTTTCCTTTTGCATTGCAGAGCATGGTGTCAGATGCACCATAGCCTCACATGGTGAGGCTTCTTTTTTTTTGTGAAAACAAGAAAAGAGAAAAGAATACAGCAGGAGAATTTGTTCCTTTGTGTGTGGTTCAAAGTGGTAAGCTGGAGGGCTTTTCCCAAGCCATGCTCGCGTGTTCTAGAACTTTATTTTTGGACTTTTCTTTCCCTGGTGACCCTGTTGTCCCTTCTGATAAACCTTAACAATAATCCATTTTTTTTCCCAGAGAGGAAATAACGGAACCATAATAGAAAGAGCCATGAATATTAATTATAATAGGTTATAGTCACTAGCGTGACAAAATACTAAATAGATGCTATAATATTAAATTAATTCTTGAAAGGAATAAATATTCTAGAAATGCATGAGATGGGAATTGCTACATTACTTACAAAATCCATAAATGAATTATGCAGTGTAGTTCAAATGATTGCCAGTTAAATCTTCATACGACAATAATAACTATTATATAGCATATATATTTTAAACACAAGCATTTTAAAAAACAATGCAGATTTTTATTAATATTATTTACTCTCTTAAACTTGCTTTTTTAGCTACCATGAGTCCATAAAATTACCATGGCTAGAAGGAAAACCTTGAAAACACTGAAAGATCAGGGATCTCTCATTTCCACTTATGTAAAGTTTCCTGTACTACCCCCAAAGAGTCCAAAAATGCAACAACATATATCATTTGCTAGGACTGAGCATTGCTTATTTTAAACCTTTCATCAAATCTTTTATAAAAAAAAATACTTTTCCAAGAGAGAAGAGAAGAAAAACTGGGTTAAAAGATAATTTGAAATATTTGGTTAAAGATACTTAAGACTAATGCTATTAGAATAGGGATGGATACCAGATTAATAAAGAGAGCGTCTATGCAGCAGTCAAAAGTATACAGTAAAAAAACAGCTTTTAACACAAAAGCCAAACAAAAATTGTTGGAAAGCATTATCATACATGCAATATTATATAAACGAAAAAAATGTGAAAAAATACATAAAGAATTTACACTTTAATCCAACTGTATTTGCTTCAGTGATTCTTTCTATAGTAGATATGAGTATGTAAACACTGGGATTTATTAAGAGTTAAACTAATATTAAAGAGAGACGTTTCAGAACAATATCATGAATAAAGAAAGTATTTAATGTGTGTATTTTCTTGTGTTGAAATATTGTTTATTTAAAACAGTGTCATGCTGACATAATGTGGGCTGTGTTTTCCTTATAAAATTCTAGAGTGATAAGGGTATTAAAATTCTACCTAGTCATGATCTATGAACTGACTGTGAAGCTGCTTTTCATCAAGAAGTTTTTTCAAAAGTAGCTACGTTATATCAAGTGAAATTACCTATAAAAACAATCCAAAATCATAATTAAAATGTTTTAAAGCAATTAAGAATGTGAACAAAAAGAAGAGAAGTTTGAGATCAGGGAGTTAAGAACTTCCAAGAATGGGCATATGGAAAGATTTGCTTAAAATTCAAGATTTACTCTTTTTTCCATTCTTAGCATAATTGTCCCTTAAAACCCTGAAAGTTTAAAATTCTTTCAAGTATGTAAAAATTATTACCAATTGCAGTATGAAGCATATTGGCAATATATGGTTAGTGCCTAGATGAAGATGCATATGTGCCTGTGGCTGCTATTAAATACACTGAAAATGGGCATACTCTGGTTATTGCACAAGTCATGAATTTAAGCCTATGTGCTTATATAGCATATAAGCCTATATGCAAAGGCATTATAAAACACATCTTGCAATATGTTGTATTTTTTTTCAAATGTTATACTGTGCTAATAGAAATACTGGAATATGAAAATACCACCTTTTTGTTGGTTCTGAACCCCATTTTTACTGAATGGAGTGGTATATAGTGTCAGAAATAAAGCTTAGTTCAATATTTACATTGAAAGATGATGAAGCTTAACTGTAATTAGCATGATCCTTATGTATGTATTGTAACATAAACTTTAAGCAGTGGAAAAGAATTGTTTAGAGGTTCAGTATAGGACTGGTTTAGTAAATTGGCAGATAGGACAGATTAAATAGGAGGGTTGAAAAAGTATGGCTTAGGCCTAAAATTTATTAAAAATTCCTGCTCTTAATTTCCTCTGAAGTAAATACTGAGCTGGCCAGATGGTCTACCAGCCATGGTCGTGCTAAACTAGAACAGGCTCTAGGCTGGGCTCTGCAGAAAGAAATGGCAGTAATGGAAAAGAGGAGAAAATGGCCTTTAATGCTAAAATGTATTCTCCAGGAAACTTCCAGATCTTTAACTGCACACAGCAGTGCTGTGTCTTAGGTGACTTAAGCAAGACACTTCAGCTTGCTCGAACGGTGATTAAAAGCATTCATCTTATTAGCATGGTGTGATTTAAATATGCTGTAGCATGTTGCAAACTTCTGTTCCATTCAGCCGACTCTCTGTTGCCCCCTCTTTTCAGATGACGGTTGCTGCTGGTACGAGCATTGAGAATAACATTCAAAGGACCATATCCTGCCCTAATGTATGTTCTACATATCTTGGATTTTTGTGTAATTTAAATGCAAAGCCTCATTATGTGGATTTGATATTTTGTTGCCCACAGAAATTTGTGCATCCTGAGGTTGCTTCATATTATGTATTTCAGGGTTACTGAATATTGTACTACAAGTGAGGTCTCAGCCTACCAAAATGCTGTATTGCTGTTACTTCTTCTGTGTGATTTGATGGCTCTGTTAAATAAAGACAATGCTAATATATTTACAGCTGAGCTTACCTTGCTTCCCTCCCAGCTCAGTGCTCCTGTCACTTGGTATCAAGAAAACAGCAACAGGCAAAATGAGGAAAGCAAGGAGAGGTTATATTTATTCTAGCTGACTTTGTTCTAAATTGAATTTCAAAGTAAAGATGTGTTAGACTAAATTTGGAAGAAAGGTAATTTCATTTTCCTTCTTAAGCAAATGCATGCCATGACTTGAAATGGCAGAAGAGGAGTCATTACAGTCGAGGAAAGAGGATAAGAAATCTCTTTTGTTAACAAAAGATGCTATTTATTCACTTGTAGTATAATAGGTCATATATCTTTTCTTTAGTAATACTTTAGTAATTCTTTAGATAAAATGGAAAATCATTGGACCAAAAATGAATTCAATACAGTAATGTGGAAATGGTAATGGCAATTTGGGATGTACTATTGAGAACAGACTTTGGTGCTGAATTATCTGGAAATAGTTTTTTTTCATGTAACATGTTTAATAATTTATTTTTCTACTCTAACATCTTCTGGATAAAGATTATCATGTTTATAGGAGAAGGGACAGGAGAACTTCTGGATAAATATTTTCATTTCCTTAGAGATATAATATATGATTGAAGCACAAGTGCGACATGCTTACAATTACTAATAGCTAAGAGTAAAAATAATGTGATTTAATATTAGCAAGAAGTTAGTCTATCCTTCCTCTCTGAAAAAGATAAAATAAAATCAAAACTGGTTCAGTAAGCAGCTTAGTCCATGTGTTAAATGGCCATTCCCAAAACTGAAATAAGGAAAAATGTAATTTCTATTTTGATAACAGTGAAAAAATCTTACAGTTACTAAAAGACTAGATTTTATTATTTTCCTATGTAATCTTTCCACAAAGTAAAAAGAAACTTCAGACTGTTTTTAATAATAAAGTTAGATTTCATAATTAGTGTACATACACTAAAAATAAATCCTTTCCTATTTAAAGCTACTCTTTAACTTTTTCCCAGGAGAAGGTAACATAGCTTAATCACAGGTGTGAAACATGTTTTTACAGTCGTTAATTACTTGTACCCAAAGTCATTGTCGAGTGGTCAGGAGGCCTAATTTTAGATTCTTGCTGTATTAATGGACATAAGAAACCCAGTTCTTAACTCTTAAAGACTTGGCACTTCTTATTTTTCACTTGCACCTCTTAGTCTTGATACAAAACAGGCACCATTTTGATTTTTATTTTTTAGATTTACCTTATATATATGGAAGAGTTTTATGGTTCAATCTCATGTGAGAGAATTTAAAAGTAATAGTTCTTCCTCATGATCTGCAATTTTCTGGAGAGAAACTAGATGCCTAAGAGAAATCTAAAAAGAAATAAGAGAATAAGACTTTCTTTCCAAGAGAGAAATAAAACACTGTACTTTCATATTTTTAAATATCATACTACATCAAGTAACCATTTCTTAACCTTCGGAGATCATTTCTTGTAGCTAGCCATTGCAAACTAGAAATTCTTTCTCTGAATCTGGCAAACAGATGGATACAATGAATTGTGCAATGAGCTGTCTTTTAAGCCTTGGCCATCTTAGCAAGTAGCTTCAGGCATGTGAACAGCTGGAATCCATGGCAATACTCGCACCCAGAAAGATGCTAATGTTTGCAGACATTTCGGCAGAGGAAACACAATCATAGCTTTTCTCTTCAACAACAGTTTTTAATCTGTCAAGAAGTAATGTAAATAGTAAATCAGGAGATGCTTCAGATCCAACCTTGAATTCTGATCATGAAAATGTCATAGCATAGCAGCAATAAGAACTGCCATCAATCTTTGTAATATGTACCTGGTTGTATCATACTCAAGGAACAGAAGACCACCTTCCTGTTTTTGAATTTGTAAGAACCACACAATGTTATGATATTACTCCTTGTATGAACATAGTCCCTAAATTAGTTAGAATGGTGATTTGTGATTTTTTTCCTCCAAAATCAGCAGAAAGTGTAAAAAAAAAATTATAACCAAGAATGAAGACATTGTCTCCAAGTCTCTGTAAGAAAAGCTAGTAATAGCTGCTTGTTAAAATA